AATATGTCACAATATGCTAGTGGAGCTGATATAGGACAGATGAAGGATTCATTTGTGAATTAAAATATATGCCAAGTATTCTTGCACTACAACTACATGTTGATGGTATATATAATAATTGTTATAAACAGAGTCTCGTCTGTTTCATTGTGTTTTTTAGTTTTTTCTTTGTTAATTTTAGGTGTGCTGTAAAGAAGAGTACAGCAGCATAACTTGCTACTAAGCTACAGCCCAACGAACGAACATGGTGGGCTTATGTTGACAGGTGTATACAATAGCTCATATATATGTGTGTGTGTGTGTGAGAGTAGATTTGACAGACAAAGTCGGTGAATGAGTGGAGGGTGAGAGGTCTTACGTAGGTGAGCTTGCACACAGCATTGGCTTTGACAGCGATGTTGTCCTGCTTGAGCTCCTGTTTGATCTCGTCGATGCATGTGGAGATGTACTTGGCCTGGGGGCAGACAAAGGAGAGGGCAAACAACAGACACCAGATCAGATTAGGTGGACTGATATCCGGAGAGGGAGGCTGCGAGCAGGCTGGAAAATTCTGATCTTTCTGCTGTCACTTTCCAAGACACTAACCAAGAACCGAATGAGTGTTTTGCCCAAGTTTAACCGCTTCTTTCTTTCTACCACTAACCTACAAGATTGTCACATGCAGCTTGGTGTATGTAGGTATGTACAGGGCCAGATATAAATATATTTTGATCAACAGTTCTGAAAATACAGTCATCTTGAGCACAAAGCTCACACTCAGACTTGTGATGAATAGAGAGTTGCCAATAATTTGGGACGTCACACAGCAAATTAAAACTTTACACTGGAGCTGTTTGCCGTGTGGATTTATCCATTTTCAAGTCTGCTAGGTGTGTTTTCGGTCCACCACCCATACTAATGAACAATGAGGTGTGCTCAGCTCTCTTCCACGAAAACATTGTCTCAGTTATAATGACCAACAATTAAAAGAAATTAAATTTAAAAAAAAATCCTACTCAGCGTAAAAACATTAAGAAATAATAACAGGTTTTTTTTATATATCATTATTACTACAATTACTAGGGGTGGGGGAAAAAATCGATACTGTGTAGTATCGTGATATTTTGTTTGCTAATAATGTATCGATACAGGGACAGCAGAAATCGATATTTTGTTACAAAAAAGGTTTTTGTGCTCTGACTTCAGAGCATGTTGATCCTTTTTCTG